GGGGGGCCGGCCGGCGGCGCGGGGTGAGCGGCCGGCGGCGAGGGGACCAGCAGCAGCACCACCAGCCCCAGCAGCGCCTGGGCGCACATGGTGCGTGCGGCCGCACCTGGAGCGCTCCCGCAGACAGACAGACGGCCGGACAGAGCGGCCAGGCGTGCCGAGAGCGGCGAGCCGGACAAGCCCAGCTCCAAGGCTGCTCCCCCCGTGCTGCAGTGGCTCTGATTAGCTGCCTGGGAGCAGGATTTGGGCAGCGCTCTGGAAGGGAGGCCGGTGCCAAACCCCGAAGTTTACAGTCTAGGCAGGGAAGTAATTAGAAACAGTTGCGCAGCCAGATGGTTTATTTTGATGTTTTAAAAGTGGCCCGTTCACAGATGTGAACGAACTGTCTCATTCTCCAAGTGCAGGCACCGTAAATATTCGAGGTATGTGTATCCCCCTGTCCTTTGATGGATGGCTGCTTGGGATAATCTGCATAGCGTGGTGGGGAAAAATGCACCGCTGAGAAGACAGGACCAGTGCTCCCCAGCTGCAGCATCCCTGTCTGGCTCCTGAAGCACCTCCTTCCCACATCTCTCCTTCCTCTCCTCTCCTTTCCCCCCAGGGTCACCTGCTCATGGCTTCGCACTGTGCAACATCGTGGGCTGCCAACCTGCACCAGCCAGAGTGACTGCAAATTAAAACCCTATTCGTTAGCCATTTCCTAATGCTACATTAAGACAAACAGTATAGTACTTCATCAGAGCAGTGGGAGATTTTAGAAGTGCTTTAAAACTAAGCTAAAATGAGGGATAGTCTCTGTAAATGAATAAAATTTGGCAGGAATGGCCAAATGTTGCAACACTTTTTGATCCCTCTGGTTGTCCTGGGAAATTGTTGATTGCCTGGTACCTCACTCAGACGGAAAGCTCTTAAAGAAACAAACTTCCACCACAGAAGATGGTAGAATATAGGTGTCCTAGTCTACACACACATGCATGCATTTTTAAAGCATGCAGCTGACAGAAGAAACTTTCACTGCTTCCAGAGCTTATAGTGGAGATTAAAGTGCTCAGTAGCTTCCTCAAAAGGAGTAACTCCTGTTTTATCTTCATATTAAATATCTGGTATACCACAGATTATACTGCTCTAGAAAACATTTTAAGATTTAGATAAAAATCTTGTGACTCAGATACTGCCTTTCCTAAAAGTGTAATTAAATGTCTTACATTTTACAGAGTGAACTCCAGGGTACAATCCCCTGGATTCCTGCTACATAACTAGTTCTGCTAGTGATTTTCCTGGGGGAAAAAAAAAAAAAAAAAATCAAGCATTTGACTTTGCTCTACTGTTCTTATAGACAACAACCTTTAAAGTCCACTTTGGGGCCTGTAAAATCCAGTTTTTACACAAGTACTCAGTTAAAGTATAAACTTTCATTGAAACACAAGAGACTAGACAAAATCCGTTCTAGCATATTTTTAAATATACATTCTTATTCCTTGAAGATATACAGGTTAAAATCAGACATGATTCCAATGGACAAATAAGCCACAAAACTTTTGTCTTATTTTAATAGGGTATCCTGAAGTTGTGAAGTGTAGAATTGCTCTCTACTTGTAGTGTGCTATCCTTTATATGACACATAATTCTGTCCTAAAATATGAGCAAGTAGAATCGGATGTAAAAAAAAATCCAAAAGCCCTGTATATCGCTGTTGCATATTTAATTTTTAACAGTTTTGCTGCCCTTTATAGTATATTTCATATTGCAAATTTGTTACATAATTTTCTCATACAATGCAGCTGGAAAAAATCCTGCATTAGGAGTGATCTGTTGACTTCAGTTTTTTGAATGTTTATAGTTGTGCTAACCTCACACATTTGACACTGATGGATGTAGTGAAAAGGTAAGTAACATTGGCAGGCCTTTATTTCTGACAGTCCTTGAAGTCCATGCTTAATGCAGCACTATGAGTTATATTTGTGTGACAGTTTTTCAAATTTATTTGCTGTGCTACAATTGAAAAAAATAATTAAACCCCTTAGATTAAAAAAGGGAGCACTTTTAAGAACAATGTGATATTCAGAAATGGTACTGCCAGAAGTCTGGAGTTAGAGAAGAATAAATAGAATTTCTGCATTTTAAACAATAGTAATTCCCTTTTGGCACTAAACTTATCTTTAATCCACAAACTAAAATGTTGCCATCTGTTCATCTTCCTCCTTCTTCTCTGTGCAGACTAGTGCTGATAAGTATTCATAAGATATTCAAGCAGCCTGAAAACCATCCTCAGACTTCAAATGTATGAAGAGAAAGCATCCATCATGGTATGTTGACCTTATCACTCCCTTATTTTTTATTTATTTACAGCTGTCAAGTTTTTAAGTAATACCCATCTTTTGGCTGTGTACCTTCTGAATTCGGAGAAGGTGCAGTTACACAGTCCAAGGGTGCAGTATTTAAAATGTGCATCCAAAGCTTAAGTTTAATAATTACTTTCATGTGTATGTGCCTCTAATACCTTACTGGATTTTAACCTTTTCTCACAATTATTATTTAAACACTTAAGCCTAGAATGTTTATATGCACACATGTATATATAGGTATACACACATGATGTGTATATATTTGGGAGCTAAGTGGCTAAACAGACTGTAAATTCCATTTATAAGAAGCCAGTGTCTTTCTAAATGAGATCCTGACATGCTGTCTTGAACACTGCTCACTTCCTTTCAGCCACTCCTGCACATAATCTTAAGGAGCTTTGTTCTCTACTGATAACATACACCTACTTGAAGTAGAGTGCTGGTAAAATGCTACTTTTTCTACATATCAAGTTTCAGACTAAGGCTTCAGACCTGTAGGTGCTTGGTAGGTGTACACTTTACACGTGGTAATGTCGCTACCTGCAGACTTAAAGGTAGAGAAAAGAAAGTCAACAAACACAACGCTGATGAGAGGATGAGAAGCAGGAATATACTACTAATACTGAACAGCCTTTTGAAAAGTAGGCAATAGGTTTAAATAATACTTGTCAGACAAGAAATATCGTCAATTAAAGATGTGGAATCAAGAAAATAAGTGCTGTTTAACACACCTACACTTGAACCTCAGTTTAAGCATATCACTATTAGTGCTCTTATTAAAAGTCTGCAGGATTTGGTATGGTCAGAGATTGGGATAAACCTTTCTCCTGCAATTTTATTTACCAGGAGAAGAATCAGTAGCGTAATTTTCTATTCAAACTGGTGATGGCTATTTTGTGGTTTCATAGCCTTCTGAACTGTGAAGAAATGTGATGTAACATTACGTGTGAAAAACAAGTTGCGAGCCCTAGGGTAGATTAGGTAATTCATAGGCAGTGACTTTTAAAAAATTTTTTTAAAGGCAAGCAATACCTTTACTTTAAATGTGCCAGAATTGTTTTTGTAATAATGAAAATTAGAATAATATTAAAACATAAGAAAAAGCTTTTTTACTCTAAGAGTGGTCTAACAGTGGAACAGACTGCCCAGAGAGCTTATGGAGTCTTCACCCTTGGAGATATTCAGACGCCATCTGGACAGAGTTCTGGGCAACCGGCTCTAGGCAACCCTGCTCTGAGCAGGCGGGTTGGACTAGATGGTCTCCAGAGATCCCTTCCAACCTCAAATATTCCATAATTCTATGACTCTGTTGACATACTGTGTACTGAACAAGATTTGATTTGGTGTGGGAAGGCAGATGGACTCTGCTCTGCCTACTCCTTTATTACATCCTCTTAGTGGCCAGCTTAATTTTGCTGCCACTTTAACAAAGGCATTAGATTTGCCAACTTCATTCCATGCTATTTTTAAGGACTTTTTTTTTTTTTTTTTAACAAAACAAAATGCACATCCAGTGAACAGTTTAAGCTTAAAAAACCTGGAGACCACCAAAATTTGTCAAATAATCCTCCTATGGGTTTCCACAGAAGCCATTTTAGTAACACCAGGGGTTTATATCAGTGGAGACATTGCAGTGGCATTCACTTACAGAGCAATTTTCTAAAATTAAACAGAAGTTAAAAAAGAGGCATTCACTTACAGAGCAATTTTCTAAAATTAAACAGAAGTTGAAAATCCCACATATCAAACAAGTTATTATTTATCCATGGAATGAGGAGAGTAGGAAGCTTCTAGTGATTCTTCATCACTGGACATAAAATCACTAAATGAGATGTCTGTAAAGATCTACGACAAACCACTTCAGCACTCATGGACCAAAGTACTTGATGGAGTTAACTAAAATCTGTCTGAATTAAACAGTTCAGAAATTCATTTGGAGAGTCATTGCTGTGCTAGCTGATGGCATCCTTGAAGGAAGCAAGAGACAGTATACCAGAGCTGTGCAGAACAGAAAACCTTGTGTTAATTTTGCTGACATGACATGGAATCTGGGACAGTTGATGGTATCACAGAGGCAACAGAAATATCTTTTGGAGTTCTAGGATCAAGGTTAGAACAAGATTAAAACTGAGCTGGCCTGAATGTAGCTGGCATGAATAGTAGTGAATATAAGCTACCCAAACAGTTCACACAGGCCAACATTAATCAAGATGTTATTGTGTTATACTCTAGTGTAAAACCTTACCTTACTCTTTCAGATCCCAGCTGAAACTTTAAATAGCAGGTAGGTCTTTAATTTGTTTAATGTTTACTAGTTAATTCCCCTAAACAGCAGTAATACCCTGCTTTTACAGAGGCCTTAAGGAAACATACCATTTTTAATCATGAGCTTGCAAGACAGCTCAGAATGCCAGCATTAATAGTATGTTTTTAAAAAGCATACTACCGCATTCTTAACTGTTTAGCACTTATTTCAGAAAGCTAGTCAAGGTCTGGTGTAATCCAAGCTAGCAGTATTGTTGAAGAGGCCAAGAAAGGAGATAAATGGGCATATCATTTTCCAACATAAATTTGACTCTGGGGTCAAATTGTGCCTTACTTCTCAAAGGGACAATGTTCCTTGCTGCTGAAAAATGTAAAATGGTGGCAAATACAATAATGAAAGTTTGTCATTTTTGTACTTAACTAGTCACCTGAACGAGTTAAATGAAAGATCATTCTTATCCTTTTGACCAAAGAGTTGTTTCTAAGGATAGTAAATTAAAAAAATAGATACTGCTGACTTCTTAGAGGCAAAACTGCAGTAACTCAGGTTGAGTGCCTGAGCTGAACATATGCG